ATGCTTTAGGGCGGGGCTACACGGTGATTGACAGGTCTCTACCAGATGTATACGGCAACATTTCAACTCACGCTGACGTATATTTGCATTGATTTTGCATGTTAACAAATGTGTTGAATGCATTTCCTTTCTCACAAATCAATAGCAAATCTGATTTTAAAATGTTTTTATTTCAAATCACGTATTGTTTACATCCATGTTTGCTGTCAATCCACGTTCTTCATGCTCCACCACTGCCTGTAGGCTGCAGGGATGTGTGTCATGTTACCTGTGCACTTGAATGCATCATCATGCAAACACGTGACACAAACAACACAGTGAGCCTTCATTGTGCTACGAGAACTCCACAACAAGGTTTCTCCACCAGATATTGTTACTTTAAGACTTTGTCTGTTTGGCTTCGAACTAAATTCCTTTTTTGACATTATTTTATTTTACTAAATTATTTATTAAATTTCTTCGTTTCTTTTTATCAAGTCAGTTGGTGTTATGTTCCATCTATTGTTCTGTTTTATCAGGTTTAACTCTTACCTCAGTTTGTCTTGTGTTGATCTTTCTGTTGTTTTATTTCCTTTCTTTTGCTGCTTTGTCTGTCAAAGCACTTAGTAAACTCTGTTTATATATATATATATATATATATATATGTATAAAGTTATTATTATTATTAACTAGCTAACATGGCAAAACAATTGGATGTGTAGTGATTGGTAAACTGGTCATTGAAATTATGCAATTCAATTTGACATTTTTTGTTTATTTATGTGAATTCTTCAACAAATTTAGATGAAAAATAACTAGCTTTTAAAATGACAAGATATTTATATATTTTTCTATAATTTAAACTAACAATTTGGAAGTACACCCGAGGCCCACCAGATGGCGCACTGACACCAAAGCAGCGGTTCAGAATAACTTTTCTACAAAATACCTTTAAACTGATTGTTGCATTTTCACCAGATCAATAATTTGTGTGTTGCTGTTCATCCAGAATACCAGAATACCAATCATTTACTTTACAACATCAAGTCTTTTTGTTTGACATGAGCTAAACAAAAACAAAAAACACATTCCGTTTCATAAAAACCTAAAATCACTTTGAAACAAACAAACAAACATCAAACGTCTGAGACATTCTACATCAACAATGAGCGAGTGAGGAGGAGAGTCAGCATCACTGGTCTGCTCAGTATGGCTTCTTCTGCTCAGGACACACACACACACACACACACACACACCATAGAGATTAAATATTGTTTTGCATTAATGAGATTTGATAAATCATTCTGGGTTTTGTTTTCATATCATCTTACCATCACTGCTTGTTTTCTCGCTGTGGAGAAAATAAATGAAAATTACTTTTTCAGGCATCAACACTTTGATAAAACAAAATAATATGAACACGTCGTTATTCTTTCATTTATTACGTTTCTATTGTTGTTTCTATCGGGCACTGGTGTCCGTATTACTACTGATTCACTTCATATTTTTACTCTCATATTTAATCTTCGTCGTTGTAATTTAATAACTTCTTTATTCTATTTATTTACCTCACTCTTATTGCCATTCTATTATATCTTGCAATGTTGTCAGTATTTCTTCTTTTACAGTTAACAGTGGTTATCCTACATTGTTCATATGTGTTTTATAATCTTATTATATTGTGTTTTGTTGTAATCTTTGATCAAACTCTGCCACAAGAATGTCCTTCTGGATTTATAAAGTTCTATCTTATCCTAAATAAAAGTTGTTCTCGTTGTGACAGAAGCTTAGAATATAAGAGGTCTGCACACTCACCTGATTGCAGGTAACGCAGCAGCACAAGCAGGACGACCACCAGTGTGACCGCCCCGAAGCCAAAGACCAGGTTATACATCCAGCTGCTGGGCTCTGAGCAGAGAAAACAAACAGACATGGAGGTCAGGAGTCGGGTTCGTTCCTCTGCTGCCGCCGTGTGGTAGCTGGCGGTACTGCACGCGACCGCCACTCACCCTCAACAGTCAGGATGAAGCTCTTTCTGATGGGCATCCTCAGGGACTGATGGGAGACGCTGCACATGTACTGTTTCCCCGAGTCCTTCAGGGATGCCTCGAGGTAGAAGAAGGCCGTCAGCGAGTAGGTGTTGTCCTGGTTGTGTTTGTGGCTGGACAGCAGGACGTTCTGGAGCTCCTTCGGGAGCGGAGCGCCCACCCTCCTGCCCGCCATCGCCATGTCCTGGACGTACCAAATGATCTCCACGTCCAGAGGGTAGTAGCTCTCCGCGTCGCAGGAAACCTTCTGCTCGCCGCCCTCCTGCAGCGAGAGAGCGGGTCCAATGTTGAGGGAGACACGGGGAGGCTCTGAGGAGAGGGGGAGTAAAAGGTTTCTCAAAATGAATTCAGCAAAAAGTTTCCTATTATAAGTTTGACTCAAGATGCAAATGTTTGTTTGGAAAATCAACTTCATAAGAGGGAGAGTCACGTCTGTTAGCTGTTGAAGACATCACCTTGGGTTCGAGGAAACTGTGATGGATGTTTTTTCACTATTTTCTCAGTTCATAGAATAATCGTTAAGTCAATCAACTAAAATATTTGAGGGATCCAGATTGCAGCCTCATGCTGTGTTCCAATTTGTCAAGCGACGAGATAAATACAAAGTCAGTGCAAGAAGTGAATGGATGTGAGTAGGCGCGAAATTTGTTGAAATATTTCAACTCGAGGGAGATATTCGCGTGACGCTGTGTCCTTAAAGTCATCAATGAATTCAGACTTTTTACAATTCATCATCATTATGTAGTTATTTCAGAGCATCCCCTGCTTTATGGTCTGTTTGACTCTAAATGGACCATAATG